TTGGTACTGCCTGTCGAGACCACCCGTCCCTAGCAATACGGTGCTACAGTACCCTTGGTACTGTAGCACCCTATTGTTATTAAGTGCTACAGTACCCTTGGTACTGTAGCACCCTATTGTTATTAATGTATCAAAATGCAAATATACCGCACCATCCACTCCGTACGGCAGCTCACCTGCAAAACTGCCACACTATGAAACCTGCGTTTGTGAAACAGGGTACAGTACCCTTGGTACTGTACCCTGTTTCACAAACAGATTACTGTACTGGGTATGAGAGTGATGGAGCGGACAGTTGCGGCGGTGATTGGCGGCGGTGATTGGCGGCCGCGGCGGTAGCGGTAGCGGTGGCGGTACTGTACTCGTCGACAGTGGTACAGTACTCGTCAACAGTAGATGGATGCCGCCAGTCAGTCAGTGTTGTGAAAACACTTGAGATCACAGGGTACAGAATGATAGAGGCAGCATATCCTAATGCGTTGTTAGGCGGGTCTTAGCTCTGTTGTAAATAAAGATGCGTTGTTACGCATACGGTAGATTTCACGTTGCACTGTACAAGGGTACAGTTCCGCACGGTGCTCATGTCTGTATGATATGCTTATTTCACATTGAACCCGATATGCAGTTGAGGAATATTCCACAGACATTGCTTTTTGGTAAAAATTTGTAAGCTACGGAGTACGTCGCTCGACTTTTTATCCGTTTACGGAGAATGATCCTTATCGGGAGGGTTCACTGTAATACTGTACTTGTCCAGCACACATATGCACTCCTCACACGGCAGTCCATGGCCGGGAAGGGAGCGGCCAAACTTTTGTTGCTGTCGAACGGCCCATTTACAGCACGCCAGTGTCGCGCCCTGTACAGTACGAGCCGCCAGATCCGGGGGCCACAGCGCGACAGTGAATTGCCACCCCCATGCGGGCACCTTCGGCCCCAGCGGCGGGGTCCAGCGGGGCTTGGCGCGCCCCGCGCGCAGCGAGCGAGAAACCGCCGGGTAGTAACCTGCGCGCCGCCTCCTCGCCCTTCCCGCGCGGGCGCGGCGGCCGTCTACCCGTCTCTCATTGGCCCCTCTCTCCGGGCGGGCCGCGCGCCGCCCCCGCGTCGGCCGCCCTGCGCGCGGGTGCCACGTGGCCGCGCGCGCGCGCCCGGGTAGCCGCCGCCGTTGACTGCGCCACGCTTGACTGACGCATCGCCCCGCCGCGCGCGACACGTACCGCACACACCCCACCACGGCTACCGCAGGCTACCCGCCCGCCCGCAACACACCCACACACCCCCCTTCACTGACCACCGCGGGTCGCCGCTGCCGCGCCCGCGCGCCGCACGGACAGAAACACTACACTCACACACACACTCACACACACACTCACACACGGCTCTCAGTCCAGTCAGTCCACTGCCGTCCCCTGCACGGAACGCAGAAGACCCGTAGCGTATACGGTACCCCCGCCGCACAGCACACGCTCCTGCCGGTGCGGAGACTCGTGCAACCGCTTCCCCCCCCCCCCCCGCCGTGGTAACGAACGCCGCCCCCTCACCGCGCACCGGCCCGCAACTCACGACATCCCCCGCTGCCCCCGTCCCGCACGTGCGCCGCTCCGGATCCCGCCCCGCCTCTCCCCCACGCACCCCCCCGAAGCCATGGCGACCGCGACCGCGCAGTTCAACGTGTCCGCCATCGGGTGCCCGGACGACAACACCACGGCCATCATCCGCAACTACTTCAACGTCACGGAGTACCGCTGCTTGACCAGATTCTTCGGCAGCCCGCCGCTGTCGACGGGCGTCGGCTACGCCGTCGTCCTGGCCTTCGGCCTGGCCTTCGGCATCGCCACCGTCGCCCTGGTCTACGCCGATCAGTACTTCTTCCGCCGCACCATGAGCTCGGAGTACTTCAACACGGCCGGCCGCTCCGTGCGCACGGGCCTCACGGCCGCCGTCATCGTCTCGCAGTGGACCTGGGCCGCCACCTTGCTGCAGAGCTCCAACGTCGCCTTCCAGTACGGCGTCTCCGGCCCGCTGTGGTACGCCGTCGGCGCCTCCGTCCAGGTCGTCCTCTTCTCCATGATGGCCGTCCTCGTCAAGCTCCGCGCCCCGACCGCCCACACCTTTCTCGAGATCGTCCGCGCGCGCTGGGGCACCGTCGCACACATCATCTTCATGGTCTTCGCCCTGCTCACCAACGTCATCGTCACCAGCCTGCTAATCCTGGGCGCAAGCGATACCGTCCAGGCCCTCACCGGCGTCGACGTCGATATTGCGAGCGTCCTCATCCCGCTCGGCGTCATTATGTACACCCTGGCCGGCGGCCTCAAGGCCACCTTCGTCGCCAGCTATTTTAACACCGCCATTATTCTCATTTCCCTCGTCATTTTCCTCTTCAAGGTCTACGTCACGTCCGAGGAATTGGGCTCTCCGGACAAGGTCTACGATTTGCTGGAGCAAGTCGCCACGGTCGAGCCCGTACCCAACAACCGCGACGGCTCGTACCTCACCCTGTTTTCTCGCAACGGCTTCTTTTTTGGCCTGGTCAACCTCGTCGGCAATTTCGGTACCGTCTTCATCGACCAGTCCTATTGGCAATCGGCCATTGCCGCCACCCCGTCTGCGTCCTGGAAGGGCTACTTGCTCGGCGGCCTCTGTTGGTTTGCCATCCCCTTTTCCCTGGCCACCTCGCTGGGGCTCGCCGCCGTCGCTCGCTCCCTGCCCATCACCGACGCGGAGGCGGACAAGGGCCTCGTCCCGCCCGCCGCCGCGAAGGATCTCATGGGCAACGGCGGCGCCTCGCTCATCCTCGTCATGCTCTTCATGGCCGTCACTTCCTCGGGTGCCTCGGAGCAGATTGCTGTCTCCTCGCTCATCGCATATGACGTCTATCGCACCTATATCAACCCAAACTGCTCGGGCCGCCGTATTATTTTCATCTCGCGCATTGTTATTCTTACGTTTGGACTCTTTATGGGCGTTTTTGGAATTGCCCTCCATCACATCGGCGTCAACTTGAACTTTTTGTATTTGGCCATGGGAGTTTTCATCGGACCGGCTGTCGTCCCGGTTGCCTACTCTATTTGTTGGGGGCGTGCATCGGCCCGTGGTGCCATTTGTGGAGCCCTTATCGGTCTGGTGTGTGGCCTCTCGGTCTGGTTTGGCTATGGTTCGACTTTTGACGGAGGCATTACGATTGTCAATCTCAATCAAAATGAGGTCATGCTTGCGGGTAACCTCGCGTCCATTGTGTCTTCCGGTGTAATTTGCACCGTCCTGAGTTTGCTCTCTCCCGACGACTGCGATTGGAGTACGACTCGCGCTATTGCGCTTATCGAGGACGATCCAAACGCGCACATCCCGTTCGAGACAGAGGAGTCTCTGGAGCGTGCGCTCAAGCGCATCGGTGTGTCCGGCATTGTCATCACGATTGTGCTCGTCTTGTGTTGGCCAGCACTGACGCTTCCTGTCGGCGTATTTTCAAAGGGCTACTTCAAGTTTTGGGTCATCATCTCCTTCATCTGGGGAATTGTGTCTTGCTGTCTCATGGTTATCATGCCTTTGATCGAGTCGAGAAACGATATCCTTGTCGTGTTGAGCATGGGAAGGTATGCCAATCGTCCTGGGAAGAATGAGGGTGATGGCGAGGAGAGCTTGGAAGATTTCGTAGTGGAAGATCGTTAGACCAAGACTTTTATATCATGTTGGATTACGGTTTTGTGCAGATCCCCATTGATGGCCAACCTCAAACCAGAAGAACTCGTCTTTTCCCTGTGAATATTTCTTTCCGCAACGGCGCCAGGGTTTTAAAGGGGAGTGGATTTGTGGGCTTTTGACAGCCCCCAAGTGGTAATCGAAACTCAGTTATGGGCGTTCCTTTTTTTTTTTTTTTTTTCCGTGAACCGGAGATTTTTCTGTCCATAACCCTCTGAAACTGTACCATGTTTTGAGGTGGAGTTGTGAAGAGAGTTGAAGCAGCTCTCAAAAATTTTAGTGAAAAGAGCATATTAGAGTGACTACCTCCATCATTGTCGACGCATGGATTAGACTGAATTGTATTTGACGCATTGCGACTAGAGCATGGTACTATTTGTAAAATTATACGTTGCGACGCACAACCAGTGGTCTTGTATAATATTGTCCTGTTCCTTTTCCGTGCCAATCAAGTAATCAGTGGGAGAAGTGTCGAGAGAGTGCTATTGGGAAGGAAACGAACTGTTCCGAGGTCAGCCGACAACAAGTTGGTCCAGAGTATGGCAGTCGTGTTACACCATTGCAGCTCACGGCCCAGTCGGTACCGTCAAGTGTACTGAACGCGCGGGTGCCTATACGACAAGTGAGTACAGTACTGTTGCACCTCGCCAATAATTTTGCCATACACGTGTGGATATTCCCCGAACGATTCCGAGAGAGCCAGGGATCATCGCGCGGCACAGCCCGAGTGTCGGACGAGGGGGTTGCGGGAAGGGGAGAACGTTGGAAGCATGGATGTCGTTGGGTTGAAGGAGGACGGCAGGCGCGCGGAGGCTGCCAGAAGCAAGAAAAGCGTGGGGCGCAGGCGCGAAGGAGACGTTGGACGTGGGCATAACGTTGGGCGCGAGGAGGACGGCGAGAAGAACGCGAGGAGGACGCGAGGAGGACGCGAGGAGGACGTCGTGATCGAGGAGAGCGTGAGGTGCAAGAGGACCAGGGGATCGCAACGGGGGGATCGCAACGGGGGAGATCGCAACGGGGGGATCGCAACAGGGGAGATCGCAACGGGGGAGATCGCAACGGGGGGTCTGGCAAACGGTCGTAGTCTCAGCCGGTGGCGGCTGGTGTCTGCTCGGGGGTTGAGGAATGGAAGTACCGTCAAAGGCCGCGGATATCGTTTTGTATAAGATAGATGCCACGGGCAAGTAAGAAGGGCATCGAGGAAGCTAAGGGCGAATTGGAGGTAACCTTGAGAACTAACTTCAGATTTTGCTGCGCTCTCTCGGTCGGTGAGGTGTGCGGCTTGGACTAATCGCAACAGTGCAGTCGCGTACAATCGTTGAATTAAAGCCGAGTAGCGTAGCCTTGCCACGTGGAAAGAACGTGGGGGCGTACAGTATCACAGTTTTTTGCCTTTTTCTCTTTTTAGAAGTGTTTTGCAGATAGCTTTTGAAAGCAAACAGCGTTTGCACACGCCTGTGCACTGGGGATGTTTAACGCTTTGGTGAGCCGCATATGCGAGACGTCTGGCAAGAACGTTTGACCATCCGTCTGTCCAAGTGGCGGATGCGCAGAAGTGGTGCATCATGTGAAGTTAAGAAAAGCCGGGGCAGTTGTGCATGAGAGAGCAAGATGCGCCATGCAGTGTTATTGGAAAATATAGTACAGTATTGCACACATACCGTAGTCCTACCTTGTTTCCCAATTTCGAAACTGCGTGCAAGGAGGTGCTGGGCCTTCCGGAAGAGTGAAAAAAGGAAGCATGGTCTCAAGAACGAGACCACTTGTATATAAAGCTTTACTGTATGTGCAAAAAGAGGCATGGTCTCAAGAACGAGACCACTTATATATAAAGCTTTACTGTATATGCAAAAAGAAGCATGGTCTCAAGAACGAGACAACTTCTATATACTACATAGAAGTTATCGATAGTTTTGCGCTGGCAATCGGAGAGAATCGTTGCCGATGTGATAGAGTACTTTCCGTTGTACGATACAGTTTGCGGTGAGCTCACAACAGACTAGCCGGAAAACACATTTTTATGGGAAACTGCTTGCCGTTATGCAGGTGATACGTTGTTGGAGCGAGTGCGCGCAACGTCATTGATCCGATAACAGACAGGTACCAAAGGCTAGTGCAAGACTGGACAGAAAGCAGCACTCAGTGATTGCGGGAATAGCGCGTAGGCACCAACGCAAGCAAATGTTTCACCTCAGTTCATCCGAGATTCAGAAGATGCGTTTAAAGAGAGAAAAGAGGCTTGAGCGACTGGGGGTTGTGGTTGGCTCTGTAAACAGACTTTGCTTTGTGAGTGGACACGGTTTTTTTTTATTCAGGACAAGTGAGGACCATGGCATGCGTGACAGGGGTACCCTAGCTGGTGTCTAGACGACAAGCGATTTGCCTCATATGAAGTCAGGCATGGCTAGGGCCTGTCTCAGTGCTCTGGTGATTCGATCGCCGAGCAAGACTCGTTGCGGTGCTGCCACGCAAGACAAAGAGTCGTCTGTTTTTTGAGATTTTTAAACGCCCAAGGACACGAGGCTTGTCGGTTGCTGTGCCGAAGGAAAGCTGTCCACTACTGAAAAATCACAGATCCTGCTGTCGCGTTATGCAAATGAAATGATTAAAGTTGCATTCTCTACATTTCAGGAGACTGACGCTGAGTTTGTCCAACGCTATGTTCTTTTCCTATCAGGTTTGAACAGATAAAATGGCGCACCTCGCGAAACCTAAACATGTAGCCCTGGTGAACGCATCACCGAAAGTCCCAACACTCTAACCAAGGTATTCGGAGTAGGTTCAGAAACGCCAAAGCAGCCTTTCTAGATCATCTTGCTCCTGACATGGGAGACCAAGCACGCAGGTCCCATGCAAAGAGCGGCATCTTTGGAGCGTTGAAGTCTCCAGTGCCTGAACATGATGCTGAAGGACGTCGTTCCCTCACCCGGGTGAATTCGTCCCGCACAACTGAAGCATTGCAGTTGCGAGAGGCCTTACAAAAGTCTTCGTCTCGAATGAATCGAAAGCTTCTCATCAACGAGCTCTCATCTCCGCGAAGAGGGGCGAATCAAAACCAGTTTGCAGACACAGATGAACTCGATGACCTCGAAGACGACGAGGACTTCGCTGTTGCCAGCTTTCGTGGCAAGAGTCTTTTGGAAAGCTTGGAACTGAACGTGAGGTCTGCCAAGTCGTCCGGTCGCCACTCGATGTTTGCGAGAATGGATACGCAAAGCCCAACGTCGAAGAAATCAGAACAGAGTGTTTCGTCCAAGGTGTTCAAGGATCGAGTAGCCGCCCGTTTCAAGTCTACCACAAAATCAGCGCGCAAAGTATCATCGGCCGACTCGACGGAGGAGAACTGGGAACAGTAGGGTGTCCTTTTGAAAGTATTAGAGCGTGTGTGATTGTGAATGAATGAAGTGACCATCTACGACTTTTACAGCTTCACTCTTACGAAATACAAAGTAAATTGATAGCTAGAAGATGAATTCGCTCAACACTGTTTCCCAGCGTTGAAAACCGCCGTCTGGGCAATGCGACAAGGCAAGGAGAATACTCAAAAGAACTTTGACCACCCCCACACAATGACATCATCTGTGCATGCGGACGCCTTCCACTCCTCCGTAGCGCGCATCCTTTCCAGGAAAGCCTGGAGGTCGCTGCAATCCGGTGGGATTCGATAACCCTTGTAATGCCCCGCGGCGACGGAAATATGTTGCAGTTTGGGCGCCAAGTTGCAGTCCAGTGCGGAGATGGTCTCCCCCAGCAAAAACGGGCCCTTTCCCTGTGCTAAAAACTTGTTCACACCTCTCAGAGCTTCCGTCAGCTCTGCTTTGACTTTTGGCTCATTGTCAGGCTCCTTGTTTTTTACAAAGCGAATAAACGAGCCGAAGACAGGCGACACGGCGTCGAAGGCGGCATCCCAGTTGGGGTCATCTTCGCGCGTGAGGATGAGGTTCTCTTTGCGGCCGACTTTATCTGCGTAGTCGACGATTTCGTCGGAGTCGCCAATGGCATGGGGGCCATCTACAAAAGTCGGGGTGGAGCCGTTTTCGTTGAGATCTAGAAACCAGCCTGGCTTGTTCGCAAGATCGATGTAGAAGGTGTTGAAATCCGTGTTCTTAAAGCGCAGCGCAAGGTTGGCCTTCCATGTGAACGGGCAGTCGCCCATGACCTTGCCCCCTGGTCCGGCTTTTGCGAAAAGTATCATGCCATCTTCGAGCGGTGGTGGGGCGGAAGCAGTCATGGTGAGCGGGCGGCGGCGGCGTGCGGGCGCTTGTGGGGAAAAGGTGGTACAGGTTTTGAACGACGAGAGGAGAGACCGGGACGGGGAGAGGGAGAGGGTTGGTGCTGACGGGATGAAGGCCTGCATCGAGACAGCGGAGACGGTCAACGTACAAAGAGGCTGCGAAAAGGTGCTCCGTTGCTATGGTGATGATGCTCGATAGGTTAACGTAAATGTCGAGTCGAAGCCCAATTTGCGCTTAGTCCCACTCTGATCATTCGCTGCCATTCATTGTCGAATTTAGGGAAAGCCCAATCGTCGCCCTGCTGACGGACCCATTCCTACCCACACCTCATCCCCGTTGCCATTCACGCCGTCCCCCACCGACAACCCCAGCCTAACCCTCAATGGCGTGGCGAGACGCTTTCACACGAGTCGAGCCCGGCTCTCCTCGCCCGGCCCCGCCAGAGTCGCTCAGAACGTGGACCTCTCAAACCACGTACGGGCTGCTGGGCGGGATGGTCTTCGGCGGCTACCGCGGCCTACTCCAAGCGCGCACTTCCACGCCCTCGCCCACCCCCACCACGTCCGCGCGGCACCGTCTGGCCGTGTTCTTCGTCCGCGAAAGCATCCTCACCGGCGCTCGCGTCGGTCTCTTCGCGTCGGTCTTCTCCGCCGTCTCGCTCGCCGCGCACGCCTCGTACGGCGACACCACCCCGGGCACCTTCGCGGCCGCCGGCGCGCTGACCTGTGGCTTGTTCGGCAGCGCCGCAGCGGGACGCGTCGCTGTGCCGGCCGCGGCTGGTTTCGGTGCAGTAGCCGCCGGCGCGCTGGGCGTCGCACAGGCGAGTCTGGAGGACGCGTATCAAATTAAGGCTGGGGAGGCTCAAGGGGAAGACCTAGTAGAGACGGCGCAGGAGGGGGAGGAGCAGGGGTCCGTCGCCATCGTTATTAACAGACTGGAGGAGAGTTTGAAAGCGCACCCCGTAGCGATGGCGAGGCGAGAGAAGGGAGGAAATACGGCAGGTGACGATGGTCTGGCTTGATTGAGGGCAACGGAAATTGCTGTTTTTGATCGGCTTGATTTTGGCTGGCTCCTTTACGATGTGACAAGTTGCGGTGTGCGGAACGCGTCAAGGAACGGCTGCACGGCATGTCGGATGCGAACGCGGAATCTCCGGACGGGAAGCGCCCGCTCACTAGCACGCCTTCAGCCTTTTCTGACCTTGCGCTCTCCTCGCACGACGTTCTCGCACACAGCGCCCGCGTCGCGTGTAAGGGCGGCTGCGGGAAGAAGCGCCGCTACTTTTGCAGCGAGTGCGTCATCCCGCTGGTGGAGCCCCCCACTGCCTTCCCGGCTCTCCAGCTCCCCTTGTTCGTAGACATCCTGCAGGCAGGGGGGGAGACGCCCCAGCGCAGCACGGCGCAGCACGTCCCCCTACTGGCGCCCGGCTACGCAAAGGTGTGGAGGCCGTTTCCTTCTTGCGCAGACGCGTTTCGGACCGAGGTTTTGGAGAAGAGCGCGGATGGGAGCGTTGCTGTTTTGTATGTGCCATTTGTTTGTGCGATTGATTCCTTTGCTCCCGACGTGTTCTGTATGTACTAATCTATTAATGCCTTTGATGACATGTAAACTACTTGGTGCATGTGATTAAAGATTTCCCTCCGATGACGCATTGTCGCCGGAGGAGGCGCTAAGGTCGCTCCCCAACTTGAAGCGAATCATCGTGATGGACTCAAGCTGGACAAAGTCAGTTTTGCTCATGCGGGACCCTTGTCTCCGCGGACTCCCACACGTCAGTCTTCCCGCCGGGCGAGGCACCCGGTTCTGGCGCTACGCGCCGAAGCGGAGCGAGCATTCCGAGTATTTTAACCCCGACAAAGTTGGATCACTGCTGTCTACTGTCGAGTCGGTGCATCGTTTCTGCGACAGTTATAACCAGGCCAAGGGAATTGGGCCAGGGGCGTGTGATGACCTACTGTGGCTGTTTGCCTTCTTGCATGGCAGGGTGAGGGAGGTTTATGAAAATGCCCCAGGAAAGCGCCAGCGCATTATGCGCAAATCAAAGGGGCTTTTGGAACAGTTTTAGCAGGAAAAGCTATGCCCTCGTCCTTGCAGTTTAAGAATAGGCAGTAAGATAACTGAATGGTCAACGTAGCTACTCATTGGCGTCAAACGATACCCTGGCACTGCCATGAAGAAAAGACGTAAAACACGGTTACAAACACAACTTCCGACTAGGATTGAAAAGAAATGGCGAACACTGAACGTGGCCAAGTTAAGCTGCCGTTGGACTTTGGGCTTCAGCAAGTCCAGTCATGAGCTGCACCTTGAAACCTTTTGAGCAAAGGCGGAGCTCGAATCTGTGTCAGGGAGATCTATATTTTCGATTAATTTTAGGCATGTCGGAGTCGGCAAAACGATATCGTCCCACTTTGACCACTCGTCCCAGGGTTTATCGACCATCGCCAATGCCGCCGCCCACAGACGTTTACGGCCTTTGACAACATTGGTTCTTACCGAACGTCTGGTGAAAAGTAGTTGGAGTATTCCGTGCCGAACCATTGTCTCAGGTTCATTCCACAGCTCTTTACGTGCCGCAGCGTTCAAAAATCGCTAACACACCTAGCGTTCTCCAGCTTTGAACAAGCAATGGCTTTTGTCCCTACCCCATTTCTTCTCGGCAAAAGCAAGGGAGCTCCACCCCGATGTGCGAACTTAACTCGCATGTCAGCCGCTCCAGATGGAGAAGTGCGCTTGAGTCGACGGGCAGTCGTTTCCGGGGCAACAGCAGCGGCTCTCTTGCAAATGACACCAACATTCCTCCCAAAACCTGCCGGCGCTACTGTCGACATTGATATTGAAAGGTTTGGCGACAAGGGTATGCTTCAAATTGGTTTGCGCGCTTGATTTTAATGAGGACAGATGCACCGATTCTGACCGCAAGTTGTTTTTGTCTTTATAAATGGAACAGAGCTCAAGGTCAGCGCCATAAACAGTACGTTAAACCAGCCATCCTTCACTGCTATGGAAGAGGGCTGATCATGCATGCCTTTTCGCGTGAGTCGGAGAACCTTCAGCTGCTAACTTCCAACGAAACTGTCATCGCTACTTGCCGTTTCTTTCAGAGGTAAAACAAAACGTCAGAAACGTTTTGACCGAGAAGCCCGAGCTTCTTCCATACCTCTTCGAGCTAACCCTACATGATGCCCTAACGTTTAATCCGCAAACCCTGGATGGAGGGCCCAACGGAAGCCTTAGACTTGAGCTCGACAGAGAGGCCAACAAGGGCCTTGCGGAAGCCCATAAAGCTATCGAAGGCGTGAGGTCCCTGCAGCGTCAGGACATGAGCTACGCCGATACATGTGCCTTTGCAGGTGCTGTAGCTATAGAAGTTACCGGCGGACCGCGCATTGTCATTCAACTGGGACGTGAGGATGCGAAGGGGCCCGATCCGGAATGGAAGTCCGGTCTCTATAAACCTGGTGCTACAGCACAGGAGCTGAAAGAAGCCTTCAATTCTGCGGGGCTAAACGGTCCACGGGATGTAGTTTTGTTCCACGGTGCCGTTGGATCTTTGAATGATATTGGACAAAGCCGGGCTGAGAAGTTGAGAGCTACTGCAATCACTGACGACGACGACGATGAGGATGAGGATGGAGTTGACGACGTCACATACGGAAAAGTTGCCTCTAAGAAGCGCGGTGCCGTGCTGGTTTCCTCAAACGTGTCCCTATTGACGTTAGGTGGACAGAAGTTTGGCAACAGCTATCTGGCCGCTATTATGAAAGCGAAGAACCTTGATGAACTCTCACAAAGGGATAGAGCGTTGCTTGAAGACAAGGAAACCCTGCCGTACCTACAAAAGTACGCCGGAAACAACGGAAAGTTCATTAATGACATGGCAGACCTGTTTCAACAGATATCTTTGCTCGGAAGTTCATTCGAATCCATGAAGTTGGAGGACAAGTAACCACTCACTTTTTTATCGTACACAGTCTCCGTAAAATCACTTGTAATGCACATTGCTGTTCCTGCTGTAGTTCACCGACATCAAGTTTCGACCCATGAAGTTCTCTTTTCTTGTCATCCGAAGTATGAACTCATGACGAAACGAGAAATGTTAAACTTCAAAAGACACGTAGCCAAGAAAGCAACAGCCACGCCGACTATTGGATACAGGAACACGGTGGTGTGTTGCAGAAAAGGTAGTACGTCGTACCCGAGGAAGGTGACGTACAAGTAGTAGCTGAATGCAAGCGCATATGTCGCGTTCGCTAGCAGTGTGCAGACAAACCCATCTTTCATGAACACCATCATCAGAAAGTACTGAAACACATATAATAATATGAAGAACGGAAAGAAAGAGTTGCAGTGAACGTCAAATGCATATAGCCACTCAACTTTTTGCTCGGTTGTATGGCTCCCCGCGTTCTCGATCAACAGATATTGGTTGGCCAGATACCATCCCAACGTCGCTGCTAACACTCCCACAAGCCCGAAATCCACGACAATAGCATACAGGATTGCTTTGAAAAAGCCCCCTACACTCTTGTGAAACGCTATTGCATATCCAAGTGACGAAATAGCCATAAAATATACCATGATGGCGATGAAAGCCGGATCTACAAAAAACATGACAAACAAAACGAATCGATTTGGCACCGTGCTAGTGCAAACGGTTAGTACTGCAATCCCAAGGCTAGTTGACATGAGTATACACACGGAAATGGCGTTCCGTCCGCCCGCAATGTCTTCGTCGTTGCCATTCTAAAGCGACATGCATATCCGTACCGTCTCGTGCCCACTGGTTCTTTGTTTGCTTGTGGTATTTTGTGGTTCTGTACACACGTGATGGTGCGACGCAAAGATAGAGCATTTGCCACAAGGTGTAGTCCATATCCATTTGTGGATATTGGAAAAAACGGCGAACATACTCTGGCATTTGTACAGAGCTCCCTCCAAGCTAAGCGGCGCAAACGGGGTACAATCGTACGTGAGCAAACAACAGGACATGAATCGTTCGAAAAGACATTGCTAATTAGAAAACGGTGCTAAGATGCAAGCCCGAAAAGTTGGAAATTGGGACAGAAGCCCTGTTGGTGACAGGGGCGCAAGTCCCCATCACCAAACTTGACTCCGTTGTGCCAATAGCTAAAACATTTGACGTACCGAAGTTGCTCCGCTCTTGGCTCCGTAGAGTGGTAGGCTTATCGATGACATTTCGCAAGACACAGGACGGTCAACACGACCCGCAAGTTGGTGGGGAAGAGCCGAAGTCTTTCTCGTTGATCCAACCTTCCCCAGGCGCCAAAACCAGCCGCCGAATCTCCGGTACTCAGAACGAGCTGCCCTTGTACGTAGTTGGTGCAAAGGAAGTGAATTCTCGCAGAATCGAAGGCAAGATTGAGGTGGGCAAAAAGTGAAGTTGCCGTTTACGCAGGGAGCAGGAGAATGGAGGATGTCTTTGAAGTGGCTCGCTCGCTGGTCAAGTTCTTTGATGTGAATTTTTCAGGCGTAAACTCACTAAAGTCAACAGTAATGCCTGCTGAGAAATATCATAGCCGTAGGAGCTGTGTTCCAATCATTGCTGTGCATTCTCGGGCAAAAAAGGTCTCTTCAGAAAATGAAAATTACAACAAAAAAAATTGAGCCTGCGAAGGCGTCGTCATCGCCCATAAATAACCCTTTTCGGTTGAGACAGCGTACAATACTGAACATGTCACATGCTTTGGCGAGTATCTCTGGTTGCATCGCTGTTTACTTGCGCACCTTGAAGGCGTGAAGGAAGATTTCGCTGCAAATCTGCAGACTGCAGAGATTGGAACTGAGTTTCAATTTTTGACAGTAAGGCACCCCCGAGAGGTTCGGCATGTCTCGTTTAGGGGAACACAGTATGTTCTCCTACACGAGACATGCCGAACATACGCCGAACATATATATATATATATTATATATGTTGTTTCCTTGACTTTGACATGACATGCTCAGAGGGTCTTAGCTCTGTTGTAAATAAAGATGTAAGGTATATGATAAGGTACACATTAAGTTAAACAAACGGCATACACCGATGCTGTAAGTAAAGAGACGTTAAATTAAAACAAAGGACAAATTACAGTTACAACGCTGCTTACAGTAAATGTTTACTCGGTAAAATTCCTGAGTAAACATTTACTCGCAAGCAGATTAACATTTACTCGGTGTCGAGTTGATGGTTGCGAGTAAATGTTTACTCGGTGACATTTCCGGGTAAACATTTACTCGCAATCAGATTAACATTTACTCGGTGTCGAGTTGATGGTTGCGAGTAAATGTTTACTCGGTGACATTTCCGGGTAAACATTTACTCGCAATCAGATTAACATTTACTCGGTGTCGAGTTGATGGTTGCGAGTAAATGTTTACTCGGTGACATTTCCGGGTAAACATTTACTCGCAATCAGATTAACATTTACTCGGTGTCGAGTTGATGGTTGCGAGTAAATGTTTACTCGGTGACATTCCCGGGTAAACATTTACCCGCAACCAGGTTAACATTTACCCGGTGTCGAGTTGATGGTTGCGAGTAAATGTTCACTCCTTAACATTCCCGGGTAAACATTTACCCGCAACCAGGTTAACCTTTACTGTATGGCCTTTAATGGCTTACGAGACATGTCATACAGTCATTATAAACTGAGTGACATGTGATTGTTTATTCGACGATATGATATCGAGTATAGGTTTACTGTTCCTCGCTTTGCTTGACAGTTAACGTTTACTTACGGATAAAAGCGCGCGAAACCGGAACAATCCTCTCGTATTGCTGCGAACAGTTCGATTTTTAGGTTCCATATAAAAAGGGACCCGAAGTTTTTTATATCGAGCGCCCACCATCATTCTCACGGACGTCACTCTTTTGTTTTCTTGCGCGTTGGTTTTTTCGAAATCGTCACTCTTTTGTTTTCTTGCGCTTTGGTTTCTTTCACACTTGACCGCTTGCTGTTGTCAAGAACGGGTGTGGTATGTGTCGCTCTGTGTTTCGTTTTCTAGACAGACAAATCAGGGATCTGACATTTCAACTGATTTTTTAGCCTCCGAGTTGTGTCTGACCGACATGTGCAGACAGGAAAAATAGCGCGATCTGCGTCCGTCGAGGCCGAGAGGACAGAGTCGACCCCTCACGGGGTCGATCGCCAGGTGAGAAATCTGACCTTGGCGGGGCTATAGCCACAGCGGGTGAGCCCGCTGGGGCCTTCGATACGCTTCAAGAAAGGGAGCCCTCGGCAGAAAAAGAAAGCCTCGAGGCGTGGAGCCAACTCAGTGTCCCCACTTCCATAACCCCTTTTTCGCTACACGTCCAGTCTCAGTTCTAAAGCCCGCAAGTTGCTACAGGGCGCAGTATGAGTCTGTCAAGGCTGTGGGGCTATCCCGCTGTCAAGCACCAAACGAAGGATGACAGGCCCTCTCCGAGTTTCGCTTCCCAAGTGAAACGAAACGCCCCCGCCCTTGCATGTAAAGGCCTCCATGCTGTCGTTTCTATTAAGTGGAAGTAAGCAATGATATCTTAAACGAAAAAATAGCGTGAACTTTATTTGGAATGCAAGATCATATATCCCCTTTCCTACGCTTTTGAATGCATGGACTATGCGCTGCGACGCGTTTGGGGAAAGCAGTTCCAAAGATTTCGAACCTACGCTCATGAATGCGGAATCCTATTTCTAGCATGCCGCATAGTAGTAAAATGGTTCTGCTCGCTGTGCGAAAACCATGTGCAAATCGAGCTGTCGGTTTGGCATGCTCATATTGACGTTAGCGCCCCGAACAATTGGCTGCCAAACACACAAGTTGATACTGTCCTTGCATCACGTGCAGGGCCTTTCTGGGGGCGCAGCAGGATCTGAAATGTTCACATGTAGCGTGTGTTTATGTTGCGTTTGGCAACCTGAAAAGGGGGGTGCAAATCTCATAATGAGTTTCGAGTACCAAAAAAAGGGGCTCGAAACTCATTTTGAGTTTCGAGTACCAAAAAAAAGGGGCTTGAAACTCATAATGAGTTTCGAGTACCAAAAAAAGGGACTCGAAACTCATAATGAGTTTCGAACCCCCGAAAAAAGGGACTCGAAACTCAAAATGAGAATGGCCTCGAATCATGCGCAGGGGCGCTTCAGGGG